TGTTTGCTCTGATATATTGAGATATCTTCTCGGTTTCTTGTGTTGTGCCCATGGTCAAGGAAGTTCGGACTGCTATTTGCCATTCGCCTTTTTCCGTGTTGAAACAGAAGGGCATGATTGGAGTGGCAGGGGTGAGAGAGATGGTGTCAATCTTGGTTGCTAGAGTCAGGTCTCATGGGCTTTCATCTGTGATTTTGTTCAAGGAGCGGGAGACTTTCCCTAACTCCTGGTTCTGTTCTTCCAGGTGTCTGGTTTGCCTCTCGAGGATGGCAATACGTCTCCTCTTCTCCTTTTTCTGATTTTTGGTTTGGCTGATCAGATCTTTGGTGAGTGCTTTCATTTTCTCTTCCCCTGTTTCTTGTTGTCATTGTTCTTTTGTTCCCGTGTTTTTTTCTTCCTCCTGTTGTGCCTTTTCTTTGTCATCACAAAGGTATGAGATTAGCCATTCTGTTGGTTTTGTGCCAGTGTTGCTTCCAACAGCTTCCGGCCCTTCTTCTTTTCTGTCTACGTATTGTAGAGCAAGGAATTTTGAGAAGGTGTTCTCACTTTGCGGTGCTTCGTAGGGGTTTGGAGATGTTGGAAAACCAGGCAGATTGTCTGAGCTTGCTGACTTTTTAAGATTGTTGATGTGTTTGTCGTATGCAAGCCGGATTTCCATGTCCAGCTCCCGATGCGATTTCAGCGAGTTGATGTACTCGTCAAGCCACTCCAAAGAGTTGGAAGAGTCTTCTTCCATTGCTGAGCCTCGACTGTCCTCTGTTGTCCTTGCGGGCAGGGAGGTGTCAAGTTGCATGCCGCTGGTCATGTCTTATGATGGTCCTTCTCTGACCTTTTTCAAGTTGGGTGTTTTGTCTGATCCTTTGACTTCTTCTTCGTCGCTTCTGAGTTATCTTTTCGATTGGCCTATGTTTCCCTTGTTGGTTCTGTCCCTGTTCCTTGTGTCCAGAGAGCCTCTGTGCTGTAGGATCTCGAGGTAGGTTTTTTCTGCCTCCCTTCCAATGTTATGAACTTCACTGAGAATCTGATTTTTGAACATTGTCTGTTCGAGAAGAGCAGCATTTCCCAGTGAGAACTTATCGTATTTGTGTGTTGTCTTGTCGTTCCTTTCCCCCCCGCCTGTTTGCCATCTCTTCCATGAGGGGGGAACACGTCTGGTTTGCTCGCTGGTTCGGCCTCTGACAGGGTCCATATCCACGTAGGGGTTTCCTTGAGATTGTCGAAGATCCAGCCTGCGCATGCTGGATCATTGATGATCCAGATGCCCTTCAATGCTTCTGCTTCCACCAGCATTGAAGGGTGCAGTCTTTTCCGATCTCCTTTTCTGTTATTTAGAGGGCAAAGGGGATCATTCCCCGTGTGTCCTTTGATTCTACATCTGAAACACATGGGATTTGCTTTTGTGGAGATGTACACAGTCTGGATTTGGTGGCCCATTCTGAAGAACCATTTGTCTGGGAGCACGGGTGGGTTACTTGGGTTTGACGCATGCAATCCTCGAGTTGATACCCTTGGTTAGAAAACCGGGGGCGGAGGAAACCCACTCGACCAAGGGACATTGGGAGTATGACTCTTTCAGTCTTTCCTCAACCAAGCCATGTAAGCCATCTGACAAATTGTTGAACTGAATCCAAAAGTGTTCGAACATCAGTGACTGTCTGTGCCTTGCTGACCCCTGTTGGGCAGATCTGTTGGGCCTCCATTTGGAAATTGACACCACTGATCCCTCGCAATAGAGGGCTTGAGTTGACAACAAAAAGGAGGCATAGCTTGGATCTGCACAGAGCACGGCGACTGCATTCCTCCTCTCTGTTGGTATGCTACTTTGGGTTCGGCGTCTCTCAAGCTTTCGATGTTTTGTAGGGCTTCCAGGACTCTTTTCCTTTTTTCCGTGGGAGAAGATGCTTCAGTTTTGCAGGAAAAGAGCAGATGACTGCGTGGTTTTCGTAAAATTCATCTAGAACTGGGAGGTGTTCTTTTGGGTATTCCCAGACTTCGACCTCCGCTTCCTCTTCTTTGCTGATTTTCACGATTTCTCTGGCGATCACCGGTTTGATTCTTGTCTCTTTGATCATCATATTTAAGACCCCCTGGCTAGGGTCCTGTTCGCTTTGAAAGTGAGACCTCCTTGTGACAGCGCTCGAATCTGAGGTTGAGGCTGAGGCTGAGACTGAAGCTGAGCCTGAGGTAGTACCTGTACCACTGGGGCTGGTTGGTACCTGGGTTGGAAGGTGAGAGGTCGACATGGTGGGGTAGGACTGTTTTGCAGGCTGGTGTATGTTCTAAGGGTGGATGATTGAGGTCGAGAATTTGGTAGGGGCTTAGTCTGGTGTGTGTATAAGGAGATTGCCTGCTAGTGTTAATTAGCAGTAGTATGGAGGGTTAGTTATTCTTGTTGGGGATTGTGACAGAGCTATGACGAGTAGATGTGGAAATGGGAGTTTGGGTGATGCTGAGAGGGAATAATGTCATGGTGACTTAGTAAAAATAATAATGTTAATGTTGGTGTTGATTAGTAGTAGAAGTGATTATGCTTAAGTGGGTGTGGTATGTGAAGTTGTGTTGTACGCGTGGTGATGTCTGTGGTAGTGTTATTTGGTGGAAAATTTTGCCAGCGTGCAGCCTCCCGGCTTGGGGATCGTTTGTCCTGTGAAAAAAATGACCAGCGTGCAGCCTCCTCGCTTGGGGATCGTTCTATGCGCAGTTGATATTTTTACCAGGTTGGATCCAGCGAGCAGGATTTACAGGCGAAATGAAATCAATGAATAATTAAATGGGATAGGGCTGTTTCGAAAGGTTGTAGCATTCGTCACGAAAGATGGGTGGGGGGGCTAATCTGATACTACCCAAGCAAAGATGGGTTGGAGGGGGTGGTAATGTGGTGGCGTTTCTGATGAGATCAGTGGTGGTTATGAGATCCATATAGAATGTAAGGATAAATAATAATATGAAACATCTTTTTTAAACACTTAAAATAATTAATTGTAAATAATCGAGGTGGTGGGAATAGAGATGTGAGTTTCAGGTGGGGTTGATTTCACGCTAGATCTGTGGATTGTCCCCAACGTGGGATCTTCGGATGTGTATTTGGCAGACTTTCCTTTGGTAGTACGAGAGTCGAAATGTTGTTTCTTTCGTTCGACGGATAATGGGAGAGGAGGTTAGGGAGAAATTCCGAGCAATTCCGAGCCTTCGGATCCATATGTGGTTGTGGGGGGTTATGCTTTTGGGTGGTAGAGGGTGAGGGGATATGTGAGTGATGTATGGATCTCGGGTATTGGGTAGAGTGGGGAGCGAGGGTGAACTGTGCTTTCGTCTGTGGGAGTGGTCTGTTGTAGTGGAGGGGTGGGGGTTGAGCGGTTAGGGCGGAGGAAAGGAGTGGAAGGTTGTGATGATGTGTAGAGGAGGATGTGATGGGGAGAGAGGGGCGATCAGACGCGTAGTGTTGTTGGCGGAATGAGGGTCGCTTTCGAGATCCGGTTTAGGGTGGGTGACGATGGTGTCTGTGTAGGTATGAGATGGGGGCTGAGGAAAGGTGATGTGGCTGACGAAAGTTTGCTTTACTTTAGATAGCTGTTCGTTCCTTGTGTTCGCCGAAAGGGGTGTCCTACCTTCTTGGGCGATACGGGGTGGACGTTTGTCGAGAACTTACCTCTGTTTCCGGTAGGAGTAGATTTCATCTTAGATATTGAATGATGAGCTGTTAGTCCGATGCACCACTCGAAGCTTGAAAGAAGGGTTGCGGTTTTCCGGATCTTTGTCTCTCTAGCCCTATGTTTGGGAAGCTGGTGTCTCAACACTTCTCCCCTCCTCCTACTTTGAGGTGTTTGATCCTTCCCTGTTTTCGTCGAGAACAATGTTCCCTGCTTGCCTTTCCCTCCTCTCCTTTCTCCGAGAAAAGTGTTCCCTGCTTGCCTTTCCCTCCACCTTATTGCTCTTGTAATACTCTCCTCCCCTTTCCTTCGCTTCTTTTGTCTCTTGTCGACGCTGATTGCTCCTTGTCACACCTGAGGGCGTGGGATGGATTGATGACTCCTCCTGCACGCCTTACTCTCTCGCCCTTTCTACCCGCTAGGTTGGAAACCAATGTCTCACTCTTTTCCCCCACTTTGAAAAACCAGCGGAGATAGCAATTTTGTTTTTGTTCCAAAATGGAGGGGCCACCCTTTACTTCGCGTTCTGTTTTCCCTTTCTCAGTTGCTGTTCACTCTTTCCAAAACTTCCCCTCATTGCCCTACTGCTCTCCTGGATGCGTTAGAGTGTTCTCTCCTTTGCCTTCAAACCTTTCGTTGCTGCCTTTCCGTGATCTTCGTCGTTTTCCTTCTTTGTCATGTTCCCCTTGTCTTCGCCTGTGTTGATGATGATGGCTGTGTGTAGCTATGGATGTCGTCTCTCCACGCCCGTAGGCGCGGCTGCCCCTTCCCCGATTTCCCCTTGAAAATTTGAAAAAAGTCGCGACCGTCGCTGGGGAATGTCCCCGCGGGTGGGCCGTGGAGTAGGCCGCGCGGCTCTGCGGAGGCGAGGGTGATTTTTGCGATATTTTGCGTTAGCACTAACCACCGGCGCTTGCGCTCTTCTTCCAGGCTTAAGCCCTTGTAGTTTGTTATTTTCCCTGTAAGACGTCCAGCCCTTGTGCCGTGCATGGCTATGAGGATCGGACAATTTGTACATGTGAAAATACGTACCTAATACCCTAATGCTCCAATCTGAGAAAATCATGGCAACGTGTCTGTCATTAGGAGCAACACAGATTTTTCTTTTTTTGTGGTTGTCCCCTTCCAAATGACTGCACTTGGCAGAGATTTTGCAGAGTGTTTTTTCTTTTCCAGGTATTGAAGCCAGTGATGTGGTACGGCACATAGCACATTACCCTGCATACATACAGTAGCATGCAGGCTTTATTAAAAGTGTGAAGATTTGATGATGAAAAGGGGATTGAGCTGTAGCCTCCCCAATTTGCAGGTCTTCTAACTATGCGTTTGTGTGCGGTTTCTGTCTCGCAGATGGGTCTGGAAGGCTAACCTTGCCGAAAGCGAGAACCATTGGAAAGGATGGTGAGATTTCAAGTACTCTTTACGGAAAGAAATAGTTGCAGACTGCTGGTATCAGTAATTCTTTATTCTGTTGCTTTTTCACTCTGTTGTTTCTCTGGCATCATCGCTGTACGCGAAGATTCCTCGTTCTCTCTTTTCTGCTTTCCTTTCGGGAAAAAAATCTAGTGTTGGCTGGCTGGTTGGGCAGGTGGAATGCGGCCACAGAACTCAAGTTGCAAAGAGACATGCACACGTAATTGCCGGAGAGAGAGAGAGAGAGAGAGAGGCTAACACATGCACATACGTGCTGACTTGCTGTTTCTGAGGATGAGCTAGCCTAGATGAAATGAAATTGTAAGATGAATCACTGCACTCGTTATAGGACTTCAACCCAATGTCTCGTGACACGAGCTGGTGATAGCCATGCAGCACTTGTATGAAGTCGAAGTTCATCCCACTGTTACAAGGAGTTTCTTTCATGCATCATCGGCTGGTAAATCATGATGGCATTTGGTACGTACACGTTGGCTACCTTTAAGAGATGATAACATTGAAATCTCTCAATGAAGAAAACATTCCCTTTCCCCTCTTCATCCCTCCGTCACTGTACAACAATAATGGAGCTCAGAACTATTCAATAGCAATGCCGGTCGACTCTCTCCACTAATGGGCAGTGTGATCACACTAATTTGATTGCTAGTCTGTCACGAGCCTGTTCTACTATTGCCACTCATAAACCAATGCCAATCATCACAACGCTGCCCCCATGAAGGCCTTAAGGAATAAGAATCACAGAAGCTTCAATGCCTGACGGCTAACCCAGGTAAGTCTCCTTCTTCCCCTTCTCCTAGCCACTTCTCTCTTCTTGGCGCTTTCCCAAGCCCATATCAGACCTCCCCTGATGTCTTTCGCCTCGCTCTCTCACACACACATTCATACTCTATTTTGCCTTGCGGCCAAGTTGCGGGTCTAAAGATCAGAGGAACCCCAACCCCCCCCCCTGGTTGAACTTTTTCCCCGCCCACCTTTTTATTATCTAATAAAATATGCTGTTTTTTCCCCCCCTATTTTGAAAGTTCGCATTCAGGGTGGGTGGGTGGGTGCTTCGGGGAAGAACAGGATGAAAAAGATGCTGATGTGGCAGGGAAACAGATGACGAGGAGGGAATGTGTAAGGAGAAGCTGGTGGCCGTGGTCGTGATGTCCAGACATTGGTCAAGCAGGTCAATCGACAACGACACATCACCGCATGAATAATCAATGCAATTGCAGACGGATTTACTGTCGATGTGAAAGCAATCGATGTCGTCGACCTGGCAATCCTCCTCCTCTTCCTTTTCCTCCTCCGCGTCCGTCAGATCTTCGTCGAAAATGTACAGGCCGCCATCATCATCACCATTATCAATGCTGTCTTCTTCATCATCAAGATCTTTGTCGTTCTTGAATAGAACACCATAATGATGATGATGATGACGGCAACAAGCAGCAGCCATGTCGACAGCACCGGCATCATCGTCTAGAGCAGCATCCTTGCAGAAGCATCGGGAATGGTGAACCCAACCACCTCTTCTCTTTCTTTCTCCTCGCCCTGCTGCCTCTCCTTACTGGTACTACGCGCTCTCGGCATTCTGCTGTTGTACTCTTCTTCTCGCTATTCCTGAAATAGAAATTCACTTCCATCGATCTACATGAAGAACTCCACATCCATCACCGAGCTTCCAAACATGCAAGTAGTTGACTCTCTCTCTCTCTCTCTCTCTCTCTCTCTCTCTCTCTCTCTCTCTCTCTCTCTCTCTCTCTC